CACACACACACACACACACACACACACACACACACACACACACACACTTTTGGACATGCTGATCTCATTCGGAATCAGCGTCGCAGCCCTCATCCTCAGATGGTTGTTTGCTGTAGTCAGTTGATTCCAGGTCATCCTCCATGACCGTCTTGCGCTTGAGGCACTGTTTCTTTTTTTTAGCCGGTGTAGTGGCCGTGTCGGTCTTCTGCTTTCGCGGTCTTCCATGAGGACATTTTGGTTGTGCAAGAGCGTCCTGTGAGGCTGTGAAGACTCCTTTCTCTTCCTGCCCACTCGGCTCACCCACAAGTTGTCATGCTGGACAGCCTCCCTCATTGCGATGAATTCCGGTATCTTCTCCTCGGACTACGGAAACTCCGTTGGCCGGGGCCTGCATGTGTAGACTGTTGTTGATGTTGGATGGGGCTCGTCTTCACGGGCCGTATCAACCTCGCCGTGCTGCATCTTCTTCTGCGCCAATCCTTCCCCCTCCTCTTCCTCCCCGCCTTGCACTGTGCCTTCCTCTTCTTCTTGGTGCTCCATCTCCTCTTCCTCATGTGGTTGCATCATGCCCTCCGCCTCTTCTTCCTGTTCCACGTAATCTCCCACCTCAGCCTAGTGCTCCTCCTCCTCATCTTCTCCTTCTTCCACATCCTCCAATGCCCGATTGATCTGCTGTTGGTGCTCCCTGGCTTGTTTGAGACCTCTCTCGATCTCTCTTTGGGTCGGGATAGCTGCACGACGGATCTCCTCCTCCATCATACGTTTGTTGACGAGTTCGGTCTCCCGTTCAGCCATAGCCTTGGCACGGTTCGCATCCTCCTCATGAACTTCGTCCACCCTCATTTCCAGCAATGTCTCGACATCCGTGTCTAGCCGTGCGAACTCGACATTAGATTGCGGATTGTACGATGCAGTCTCCCTTACCCCGGGCTCCGTCGCTGTCGGGCGTGGCTCTTCTTTGCATTGTCATCTGATCCGCCTCTTTCCGACGTACGTCGTGTCTGGGACGGACGACTTTGGTCATAGCTCGAAATCAGAGTCATCGCCGTCGTCCTCTTCGCTGCTACTTGAGTCCTCCGACAATCCGCACTTCCCCTTCCACAACTCGTCATCCAAATTTTGTCATCCGTGAGCTCTTCGTCCTTGTCCTCGAGATTTTTTGGAACCCTTCCCTTGAGAGTCTTTGTGAGCCTCCGTTCCTGTACAAGTTCCTCCTCTGTCTTCTTGGCCTCATCCTCGGGCCCCTTCAACACCGATCCATCGTTCCCTTCAGGCTCTGGGACGGGCTCGGCGAAGTCACACCACAAGTCCACAAATCTGTTGTTCTTAGTTTTCGGAACACGCAGTAGCTGCATGTTCCAGTGTATGCACACTAGCTTCTCCAAGCTTTCTGGCGACAACTTGTTCCTCCGTTTGGAATGGATGAAGTTCATGGAAGCCCAAAATCCTCTCCGCCGGTGATGCGGTGCTCCACAGAGTCCACATGCCCATAACCTTGATCGCAATCTTCTGCAATCCGGGCACGCCGCCACCGTGTGCTGCCCACCATTCTGACGGTGTCTTCTTGTCAACATCCGACTTCACTGTGGGGTCCCACATCTTCGTGTCATTCCTTTTCGGGCCGTTCCTTGTAGGTTTGTTGTGGAGCTCATTCAGGTCACTCCAAATGTCAAGGTGCGCTTGCCCTTTCCATTCACCTCCAACCTGCCTCTAGAGAAAGCGCATGGCATTCTATACAAGCACACTGTCTTGGTCATGCAACCACCTCGGTTCTCTCCTGCGTGGGTCCAAAAGAAAGGTTGTTGCGTGGATGGGCTGCCGCATCATCTTCATGCGATCTCTGACTTTCTCCATCACGCTCGCCCGCTGCTCCACTGTAAGAACGACATGGCTAAGCTTCCTCTCTATCATGTCGTCATACTCGACAAGGTTTGTGGGACCGGTACCGTCCTGATCCATCCACCGCAAGAGGCCGAACATGGGCTTCATCACCTCAACCACCTTGTTCAACCCCGTCCACCACTCATCACTTCTCAATGTGAAGTACACCAGATCCGATCTGGCCCTCAACTTCCACGTGGACCATCAGATTGCATTCCACTTTGCTGCATTCCGACCGTTAACCATGTCCTTCAACACCGACGTCCTGTCGTATATCCTCTCCAACATTTGGTAGACAGACCTGAAGCGCACCTTCGTGGGCCGCAAGAGACAGCGAACTGTCCACTGTCATCATCAAACTGTGTATGTTGTGGTGATTTCTAATGAACTTGACGATTGTGTGGCCCCTCTTTACGGAGTGCTTCACCCAATCGAGTTTGTCGAGGTCGCGTAAAAGAAGGCTGCAGCAATGAGCAACGCAAGGAACCCACAGAATCCTTGCTATCTCCTTGTCCATTCGTCGCTCCAGGATCTGAGCCGCCCTTTTGTTGACCTCCGTGTTGTCAATGCATATCGCATTGATTCGACGCAGTCCGATTTCCCTCATGATCTGCTCCCAAAGTTTTGCCAATGCAGGTCCGGTCTTCTTCCTCCCGGACATAGACACTGTCGCCACCAAAACCGCCCCATCCACCCCAGCTGCCAAGAAGTTCATCACAGGACGCTCTCGACGATCACTCGATCCGTCTGTGATGAAAGTACACACGCTCACATCCCAACAAGTCGTCAACGGCTCCACCGTCTTTTGCACTCGCATGTAGACAATGTTTGACATAACAGTCCTCATGTGCTTGAAGGAGGGCAGTTTCACGTGATGTCTTGACTTTGCCACCTGCAGGTACACTTCGTGGAGTTTCTGGTTGGTTTCGAAGTTCAGGAAGTTGGATGGGATCCCAACACGGAACATGACCTTCGCCCATGCAATGTCCAGTTTCTTTTGCTCATCGTTGTCCACCCACCTCCTTATTGTTGACTGCTGCAATGAGAACAGTCGTGTGTTCGACCCCGACGCCTCACCCCCCGCCGCCTCCAAAGCATTCTCCTTGTGCAAATCCCCTGCATCACATGGTGGAGCAGCCCTGTCCACAGTGGGCGGTGGCTGTGGCTCAAGGTATGCAGGGAACTTCAACCACCTCGTCGGCCTTCTCCGTCTGATCGACCCCCCCTTCCGGAATCCCATGCAACTGCCTGTAATTCTTCAGCAAGTACCGCGTATTCTTATATTCCGGCAGCACTTTCCCCCCGGAGTTGACGAGCTCATTCACGATTTCCCCTATGCACGATGGACACAACTTCTGCGTCTTCAGGTAATGTTCCATCGCTCTTGAGCTCGTACCCCTCCAAATCTGTGTGCACAACCGACACCTCACCCAATACTCGCCTGTCCCTTTCTCCCCGGCTTCCTGACCCTGGTCTGCGTACTTCCAAACAGCCTTCTCCCTCTGCAACTTCTCCTGCCTTGCCTTGTCCTGTGGAACGAACAGCGAAGGTTCCATTGTCGGCGTGGGGTCTTTGGAGGTCACTGTGGATGCGGGTGTAGCGGAGGTGCTTGCACTATTTCCTTTTCCTTTCTCTTCTGCCGTTTTGCCCCTCCGCCCTCCAACGTCGCTGGCACCACCTGCCATAGTGTCGTGGAAGAAGAAGAAGAAGAAGAAGAAGAAGAAGAAGAAGAAGAAGAAGAAGAAGAAGAAGAAGAAGACTTAGGGAGGAGGAGGGGAAAGGAGGAGGAGGAGGAGG